CGTCCAGCCTTGGCCATCTATTACACCTACTTTTAATATCTACTTCTTCTCATCCCCAACCCCGCCATTTTAGGTAACTTCCAGGATTCTGAGTGAATTTTTTTCTACTTAAGTACTATTCAAATTTTCAAAAATAGACATGTTTTACTTTTATTAAAAACAGCAGCTGCCAGGCACAGTGGCTCATACCTGTAGTCCCAGCTACTCAGGAGGCTGAGGCAGGAGGATAACTTGAGGCCAAGAGTTCGAGATCAGCCTGGCGATACAGGGAGACCTCATCTCTCAAAAAAGCAAAGCAAAACAAAAAATCAGCTTTTTTTGAGAAATAAAGTAGACGACAATAAATTTTTATCTAGAATTAGTTTAGTTTGCCTTCAAGTAGAAAGAAAAGAGGCTAGAGACTATATGAACTCTTAAGTACAATTCTGTAGTAAGGTGGCAAAGGCAATTTGCAAATTAAGTGAGAACAAAATGTTTATGAGAAGAGTACCAAGATCGAGGGAAGGACCCTAGACAAAAGGTTTATAGTCTGAGCAGGGAGGAAGCAGATGAGACATAAATACTGCTGTGTACTCAAAAGTAGAGCCTGACAAAGCTAAAATCCTTTCTAAATATTAACTTTTGGTCTGATTCAGCAATCCCATGATGGGCACATTAGTATAGCAAATGATAAAGTGAGGCAAAAGATAAAATTATTGTCCATGCACAGAAATAAAATTCAGGAATAGATAATCTCTTTCTGTGCCTCTTTGCCCTTTACTGTAGCAGCATAAGCAGCCTGCAAGTGACTCTGTGTTTTTAGGGAAAGTAAATTGGTCGCCAGTACTGTGTAACAGCTAGGAATGGGGAAGCGGGGTCCAAACTAATAGTAGACAAGTTAGAACCAATTCTAAGCCTGAAGAACAGTGTTTTTAGGTATCAGTCTTCTTGCTCAGGATGAAAGATTATGTTTTTAAAGGGCCATTTTTCTATGGCCCTCTTCTGTGAATATTCTCATTAAGATATTAGAAAGCCAGTGTCCTAGAAATGAAAAGCTTCAGTTTTCCCTAGTGCTGAGCTCTTTAGTTTTGGGGAGTTATTAATTAGGCCAGATGTTCCAGAAGAAAATGAGCAGTAATAAAGTATGAATTGATGGATTTCCCTTTGTTGCCAGAAGTGAGGGGAAAGGAGTTATGGGAGTGTATGTCAAAGACCTGTTTTTCCCTAGTAGGTGTGGAGTTTTCAGAAGAAACAAACAAATCTCCTCATCGCCTTTTATAAACATAAAATTACAAAGTTAGAAGCAGCCATGCAGGATGCACAGCAAACACTCGTCAGCCAGGACAAGTAAGTGACAAATCAAATCCCCAGATAGCTTTTTTTTTTTTCCTTTCAGAGCCGCTGTGGTTCTTATTTCCTTGTGGTTGCAAAGCCTGAAAATTGTTCTATATGTATTTGTTTGTCTTGAGAAAATCAAGTCCTTGATTTTTGAATTTTTAGGCCCCTCAATCTCCATTTTATTTTTCTCTTTCTTCCCTCTAGGGGCCCTCCTCACTGTATAGCTTTCCTCTTCTACTTCCCTGTATCAAAAACTACTTCTTCTGAGAAATCAGATATAGCTGATTCATACTGATAAAAATGAGAGAGAACATTAAAAAATGTTACCTCTGGGAGGGTATATTTTGGAAATCTTAAGCTAAAAGATGGAATCCTTGATGAAAAATTTTAGACATCAGCCGAGCAATGGTGTGTATGGTGGTGGTAGGGGAATGGAATTCTTTGCAGACTGCCCTGAAATCATACCAAGTAACTGTTTATTTTGCCCACCTGATTGTTCTCACCATCAAAACCCTGCCATTGTCTCCTTGAATCACTAGATCCCTGATAGAAATACCTTGTATAGCTGCAAGCATCTCTCAGTAAGCATTAACTAGATGTTGATAATAATAATAATAATAAAAACCAGGTTTTTTTTTTTATCCCACTGACCTGCTGGAGCTGATTGTTTCCATCTTTTGCCTAGAGAGTTGTCAGTCTTAAGGAAGGAGAATGGAGAACTGAAGAAATTTCTAGCCATCCTAAAGGTGAATGAAATATATTTTCCTTACTATTATTTTCTCTCCTACTTTTCCCATCTGTCTAGCTGACTGTATAGAATAGTGTTTCCTAACCTTTTCCACATCATGGCACATATAGAAACTGATAATATTTGTGTAGTAAGCACACTGTAGTAAATGGATGAGGCCACCGAAGACCTTGGAGGCCTGAAGGATCAACATTTAGCACATTTGTAACCCATTGTCAAACATCAGTGAATCATGACATACCAGTTGGGAAGCTCTGATATAGAAGAGACATCTGTTATGACTTAAAATTTCTCCTCAAAAAACCCAAGACACCTCAGGACCCTTCCTCTCCCTCACATTCCATTTCCTAAACATTTTTTTTCTTCCTAAGAATGGAGTATGCATTTATATCATTTTCTATTGAGCCCACTCCTGTAACTATTCTAGCACATTATAATCATGTTATTTTCCTTTTTCTCTCCATATTTCCTCACATATATTAGTCTACAGGGTTCCTACTTGTGCTCTTATGAAGAGGAACTGAAATTTTATTTCCTCAAAGCTAATAATTTCCTAAGGAAACACTGCTGCTGTTTTTTCTCCTACTGGGAATCTTAACAACCATAACTAGGGGGCATTGCAGTTTAGTCATCTAACAAGACTGAGATCCATTGATTAGGACCCTTGATTTGCAATTTCCTTCACTCCCACCCCATCCCCTTTTTTTTTTCACCTACAGGAATCTCCAAGTCGGTACCAAGGAAGCAGGTCAGTTTTATTAGCGTCCATACTAGTCCCACCCCCCGAAAATTTCTGTTCTTTCTTGACTCCTGGCTGTATGGGCTCTGAGATGGACAAAATGGTTGATGGATTTATCTTTCACTTCTCTGAGAAAGTGTTACTCACAGAAAAGTGCTGAAGTACAATCTTGATTGTAATGCTCACCCTGGACTGTTGTCTTACGAAATCCTACTCATCCTTCAAATTTCAACTCATGTCATTTGCATTAGGCAGAGTTAGATCTTCTATTCATTCTTTCAATAAATATTAAGTGCCTACTGCTTATCAGGTACTATGTTAGGTGCTGGATGTACAGCACTAGTCCTTTCTGATTACTGATGGCTGTGCTCTACCAACTGTGCTCTACCATTCTTTATACCAGCCCGCATTGGTGGATTAAAAGGACATGGCCCCTGCACTCAAAGAGGTTACAGTCTAGTGTTCCTTAGTACTTCTGTACTTCTGATATATGCATTGTAACATACTTAAACATTGCTCTGATTTTTTTTTGTCTCTCCCACCAGCCTGTGAGCTTCTCAGTTATTCCAGTTATCTTTGTAATCGCAGAATCTAGGACATGTGGACACTAAATAAATGCAGGTTGGATGGGTAGATGAGAGGGTAGAGGAGTGTATGAATCAGTGGACAGATGTAAGGTTGAAAGTACTTGGTAAGACACCAAAGGAAAGAGGAAAAGAGTGTTTCAAAACTTCTATTATGGACAATAGAGAAGTGGAGGTTTCACTTAGGGAGTTGGAGAGCAAAGTCTCATATGCAAAATATGCTTCCATATTTTGGGGTGATACCTATAGTACATGAGAGTAAGCAATTTGTACTCAGAGAGGAAGCTATTATTTCCATAAACAATGATCTGATTGATCCTTTAAAATGGCACTTCTGGCCAGGTGTGGTGGCTCACGCCTGTAATCCTAGCACTCTGGGAGGCTGAGGTGGGAGGATTGCTCGAGGTCAGTAGTTCAAGACCAGCTTGAGCAAGAGTGAGACCCTGTCTCTACTAAAAATAGAAAGAAATTAGCTGGACAACTAAAAATATATAGAAAAAATTAGCCGGGCATGGTGGCACATGACTGTAGTGCCAGCTACTTGGGAGGCTGAGGCAGAAGGATCGCTTGAGCCCAGGAGTTTGAGGTTGCTGTGAGCTAGGCTGATGCCACAGCACTCTAGCCCAGGGAACAGAGCAAGACTCTGTCTCAGAAATAAATAAATAAATAAATAAAATAAAATGGCACTTCTCCTTAGCAAGATTAGAGCTGCCTTTTTTTCTTTTCTTGCAGATCGACCACACCTCGACCAGTGGGCATTACTTCCCCATCACAATCAGGTAGAGAGCATGTTTTTTTGCCCAAATATCTGTGTGAAATGAATAAATATCCTTTTCCCATATGGAAGATGGTTTCCTCTCAGAAACCATAATGTGATTTTCCTAATTTTATGTATGATATGAAAACATCAGACAACCAGATAACCACTTGCAACAGATTGGCCAGGCAAGGCAGGGTGCACCATTGATGGCAACTTTTTCTTGGGCACTTTATTCTCTTTCAGTTACCCCACGACCCAGTTCCCAGCATAGCAGCCAAGTGGTCAGGTGAGTAAAAGCCTATGCAGCAACATTAAAGCTGTGGCAAAAGTTGGAAGATGAAAGAAATGTCTAGATGTGGCTCAGATTGGGACTAAACAGACTTTACGTCTATGTAAAAGTTTAACGCCAGGTTTTTTGCCTTTTTGTCTCTTTGTGTCACCTTAAACAGTCGATCCTCCTCAGTGGAGTCTATGCCTTATAGAATGACTGGCTTTGGTAGCTTGGGACAAGTGAGTAGTATTCTTCTCTTTCCAGATTGAGGTTTCTACTGTTAAATGAAAACAAAGATTTAAGTCGAGAATCTTAAATTTATACTGGTTTTGGCATAAATTATCTGATGCTATGCTGGGACCTATTTTCTTTTGGCAATGGAAACTTGATGTTAGAAGCTGACACGGGGAATAAATATGGGTGGAAATAGTGGAAGTGTTCAAGGACTTAATAACAGTGTCCGTTGTGTTCATTTTGGAAGTCATAAAGTATGGATACTTCTTAGACCAGTATGTCCACTCTGGGAGAACAATATATGCTTGAATATGTAGAACAGAGAAATAGCAGGAAATAGGGAAGCCAGAAAAAAAAGGATATACTTATTAATTGATGTTTATTATTTGTCCATCAGGGAGGCAGAGGCCTGCAAGGAAGGAACACTCCAAGAAACTCTTACACTGGTGAGAGGGGGAAAAAGGTGTCAGAAGTAAACAAATTCTGTGCAGAGACCAGTAGATTTCTGGCTTTCTATGCGTTGAAAATCTCTGGTCAGAAGACGGAGGGTAACTCGAGTAAAATAATTGACTTGGATTTTTAAATAGCCACAAGATGGCAGTAGAAGTTAGGTGTAAAAGGAAGGTTAGGACGATGTCGGTGTCAGTCTGAAGGGTGTCTGGCTTCTTCACTGTATATTCTTTTTTTTTTTCTCCTGACAATTGGTAAAGGAAGTTCACTGTGTATTAAACTTAAAAATATTCCAGTGAAAAAACATTTTGGTTCTACTCACTATTTCTTATCTACATCCTCTTAGAGCTACTACTGTTACTATTTTCAAGGGCATTAGCCAATCCCTATAGAATACCTATGAGAGATTTCTCTTTCTTTCACAAGAAGGCAAATTTGAAATTCCCAAATCTCTTTCATTATTTAAACTCACCAAATAGTCTCCCTCCAATTCTTCCACATTCATCTCTTTGAAAAATGTAGATGTTCTACCCAATTTATTTCTATCAGATTGGTAGCAATGTTCCCTCTTTCATTCCTAATTTTAATAATGTGAGTGTTTTCCTCCTTTTTCTTGGTCAGTCATTTCAAAGAACCAACTGTTAGTTTTGTTGATTTTCTTTATTGTTTTTCTATTCTCTATATCATTTATTTCTGGTTCAATCTTATTTCCTTCCTTATGGTTGTTTTGAGTTTAGTTCTTCTTTTTCTAGTTTCTTAAAGTAAAAGTTTAGATTATGTTTTTTTAAGAGAAAAGTTATCAAATTTATTTTGACATGTATACTAGAGAACCCTCAGAAAATGAAGATTCTAGGTTAGATTATTGATTTGAGATCTTTTTTAATATAGACATTCCCAGTTATAAATTTCACTCTAGCATTGCTTTCATTGCATCTTATAAGATTTAGTATGTTGTATTTTTATCATCTCAAATTATTTTCTGATGTCTCTTGTGATTTTTTTTGACCCATTAGTTATTTAGCACTGTGTTGTTTAATATCCACATATTTGTGAATTTTCCAAATTTCCTCCTGTGATTTTGTTTTGTTTTACATTTTTTGTAGAGATGGGGTCTTGCTATGTTGCCTGGGTCTCAAATTCCTGGCCTCAAGTGATCCTCCCACCTCAGCCTCCCAAAGTGCTGGAATTATAGGCGTGAGCCACTGTGCCTGGCCCTGTTAATTGTTTTTCTTTTCTTTTCTTTTTTTTTTTTGTTACTTCTTTTTTTCTTTTTCTTCTTTTCCATACAAATTACTAACCTCAGGACCTGTTATTGATTTTGAATTCCATTTCATTATGGTTGGACACACAATTTTTAACTTTATGGCTTAACATATGGTTTATCCTGGAGAGTGTTCCCTGTGTACTTGGTAAGAATATATATTCTGCTATTGTTGGGTGTAACATTCTATAGAGTCTAAGTTTAGTTGGTATATTAAATATAATGTTGTATAATTGGTATGTGTCTGTTTCTGTTTCCTTGCTGATCTGCTGTCTAGTTGTTCTGTCCATTATTAAAAGTGGGGTATTGAAGTCTCCAACTGTCATTGTTAAATTGTCTCATTTTTCTCTTCAATTCTGTAAGTTTTTGCTTCAGGTGGTTTAGTACTCTGTTAGGTGCATATATAAGTGTTATATCTTCTTGATGGATTGACCCTTTTATCATTACATGTTTCCCTTCTTTGTCTCTAGTAACAATATTGTCTTAAAGTCTATTTTGACTGGTATTAGGATAGCCACTCTTTTGTTCACTGTTTGCTTGGAATATCTTTTCCTATCCTACGTTCAACCTATATGCATCTTTGAATCTAAAGTGAGTCTCTTATAGATTATTGTATAGTTGGACCTATTTTTTAAATCTATTCTGCCAGATCCTGCCTTTTAACTGGAGAACTTAATCTACTTACATTTAATGTAATTACAGATAAAGAAGGACTTACTTCTACTATTTTGCTATTTGTTTTCTATATAGATCTTATGCTTTTTGGTTAGCTTATTGTTTGCCCCAACTGATATTTATCTCCTTCGGTAGCCAAACAAGTACTTCTAATTGTTTTCAGCATACACTCTTGGGGAAAAGGTTTTTCTGCACTTAGTGAGCTCTCAGCTCCAAGTCCTTGGAACCTGGTAAATTCCAAGTCAAGTCAAATTATGATAGCCTTGCAAGTGAGGTCTTCCAGGGAACCACCGGATAGGTCGAATAATGACAATTTTCTGGGAATGAGACTTTGAAGGAACTCTAACCCCATTCCATCCCCTCTAGTGACTGCCAGAGTGTTTTCATCATGAGTATGGCCTATTGGTTTTCAAGACTACCATGGAGCTGAGGAAGGAGAAATGGGAATAGGGCAAGTTAAAATGCCACAAAGTTTGCTATTTTTCTTGAATAAACATTCTTTTTTAAAAAATTTTTTTCTATCATTTTACTTTGTATTGAATAAATATTCTCTGGATTGCTACAAGCCCTTCATTAGTTTCTAGAGTTCTAAAAAAGTTGACTCTGACCATTTTGCCAATTTTCTCATTGCTTTTATGGAGGAGAGAATTTTTGGAGGTCTTTGCTCTATCATTTTTGCTGATGTTACTTCTAGCCAATTTAATGACCATTTGTCTATACCTATTCTTTCTGGTAATCTCCATCTTAGAAGGGAAGCCAAGGCACAGATATATTAGAGCACATCAAGGCAGTTATGGATACTGGTCCACAGACTCATGAACAGGAGGGGAAAGCACCTTTTGAAATACTGCTAGGTGATTTGTGAGCCATTAGTTCCTGAGCCTAACATATATACTAAAAATCTTTGATCTCCATTTACTTTGCCCCGGGCCCCAGTATACCTAAATCTCTTTTCCAGTTCATGCATTATTTCATGGGATCATTTTTATGCTTTTCAGAAACCCCTTCACCAGCTTCAACTCACAGCCTATCTTATAGGTGAGTAACACTCTGCTTTCTTTCTCTTGGAATCTGTTCACACTCTGCCAGCAGCCCTGGGATTATTTCTTCACTGGCCTGTATCGCTGAAGTTTATAATCTGCCTTGTAAACAAAAGAGAAGGTTGACTACCACTGTGTTTAATATACATATGTATTATTTTATTCTCAGTTGCAAGCAGGGGATTTTTTTCCCTGTCTGGTCTAAATGTATAGGCCCTTCATATGCTTTTTACCTTTACCTTCCCTTTTCTCTGCTGATGCTTTTATTTCCCTTCCTTAGATCTTCATCTGCCTCCTCTGGACAGGGGATTTTTTCTTTCAGACCAACCCTAAATGGGGATTCAGGCAACACAAGAGTCCTCACCCCCAACAATTCTGGTGAGTTAAATAACATTCCCAAAGGAGTGGAGCTTCACTCATTGACATGTATATTAAAATTAAGATCTTTCTTTCTTTTTCTTTTCTTCTCTTTTCTTTTCTCTCTTCTCTTCTATTTTCTTCTTTTCTTTCTATTTTTTTAAGAGACAAGGTCTTGTTCTGTCACCCAGTCTGGAGTGCAGTGGTGCAGTTCATAGCTCATTGCAGCCTCAAACTCCTGGGCCCAAGTGATCCTCCTACTGTAGCCTCTTAAGTAGCTGGGACTACAGGCACGTGCCATCACGCCTGGCTAATTTTTTATTTTTTGTGGAGACGGGGTCTTGTTTTGTTGCCCTGGCTGGTCTTGATCTCCTGGCCTCGAGCAATCCTATGGACTCGGCCACCTTCCAAAGTGCTGGAATTGTACAGGCATAAGCCACCATAACTAGCCTAAAATGAAGATTTTCAAGGTGATAAGAAACTGGGTTATGCTCCCCAAAGAGCATTGTCTCCAGTTTGGCTCCTTAATATTCTTTAAGAGTCATTTGATTTCCTTCACAGTGAAGGGAAGGTCTGAATTTTGCCTGGATAGCACTCATCCTGTCACCAGTTGAGTCCTACTATTTAGCTACAAGGTTGGCCTGTAGTATTGAACTGGCTTTTTTTTTTTGAGACAGGGTCTCACTCTGTTGCCCAGGCTAGAGTGCAGTAGCATCATCATAGCTCACTGCAACCTCAATTCCTGGGCTCAAGAGATCCTCCTGACTCAGCCTCCTGAATATCTGAGACTACAGGCATGTGCCACCATGCCCAGCTAATTTTTTCAGAGATGGAGTCTCACTGTGTTGCTCAGGCTGGTGAACTGGCTTTTATTGATCCCTATGTTGCATATGTTGGGAGCTCAGTTCTGAGGATTATAAAACCAATATCTTTTCTTCTCCACATTTTTTTCAGTAAAGGTACCTTGGCTACTAGTCCTCTTGATAAGGGGCTGCCATCTTCCATACCTCACCTAAATCTTTGTATTGCCTATCTTTCCACTTATAGGTAAACTCAAATCTCAGAATTCTCTGCCAGAACCCTGTCCTCATAGGAAAATAATGGACTTTATAACCCACCTCTTAAATTGCTTAGCTAATAGTTTTTTCCCTTTTGAGTAGTGTTCCTTTGATTAAGAACTACATCATTACCCTGACCCACAAGTAACACTGCTAAGAAATGGCCCAAGTGAGTTATCTTTCACCATTCCATTCTATCCATCAGGTCAGAGGGAGAGCAGAACCACACCAGAGAGTCTTCCTGGTTTTCAGTTACCAGTCCTGCAGGTGAGGCCTGACTAACAGTCAAGTTAGTCAAGTCAAGGCTTGTCTAACTTGACTGTGCATAAAAACTCACATGGTTATGCCTGCATACCAAATGCTTCATTCTGGTCTCGTGTTGGGATGGTGGAATATAACCAGTGGAAAATGACATGAGTTTCAACTGTGGTAATCATATGGTCACAATTTTCCAGAATGGTCTCAATTTTAAAGTTTCTATCCTGTCAGATTAGCTTCCTGCTTTGGGGTTTTAAAATTAAGTCATATGGCAGTGAAAGGCTTTAAGCTGAGAGGTCTTGGCCAAGATAAAATAAGCGTGGACACGCTGGCAATCCCAGTAGTTCTACAACAAAGTACTTTCAATGGAATATATCTTTTTGGTGGACGTACTGCTTGAACTAGGAAAAAACCATGTTTACTTCTTCAGAGATAGCTAGAATAATATATATATATATATATATATATTTTTTTTTTTTTTTTTTTTTTGAGACAGAGTCTCCCTCTGTTGCCTGGGCTAGAGTGCTGTGGCATCAGCCTAGCTCACAGCAACCTCAAATTCCTGGGCTCAAGCAATCCTCCTGCTTCAGCCTCCTGAGTAGGTGGGACTACAGGCATGCACCACCACACCCAGCTAATTTATTTCTATTTTTAGTAGAGACGGGGTCTTGCTCTTGCTGAGGCTGGTCTAGAACTCCTGACTTCAATTGATCCTCCCGCCTGGTTTCCCAGCATGCTAGGATTGCAGGCGTGAGCCACTGCTCCCGGCCTAGAATAATGTTTTGTAAATTAATGGAACTATCATTCTGATCCAAACAAGATAAAGGAAAAGGGCATGGTAAGGAGAGGTTCGATAAGGAGCTCTATTAAATGAAAAGTCTAGTCTTGCCTTTTAAGTTAACTTTTATGGCTTTGGTACTGAGGATATTTAGGACCCCTTTTCCACTCCAATATCCTCATGACCCAGGGACAATTCCTTCATACTAAAGTAGATATATGTGTTGCTCCTATATTCCAAAATGCCCTTTATTTCATCAGCAAGAAATTAAGGTCTGAGCCTTAAGAGGCAGCACTGGGGAAATAACATTCCTCCCTAAGATTCTCACAAATGGAGGGATTAACCAACAGATGAAAAATGACCTATAAACCATCTGCAAATATATGGCCCCTAATTGGATCTTGCTTGAAACAAGCTATTAAAAAAACCATTTATGAGACAGTTGAGGAAAATCAAATATCTATTGGACATTTGTTATTAAAGAATTATTAATATTGGGATTATTTTAGGCATGATATTATGATTATATTTCTAAAAATAGCTTTTATCTTTTGTAAATATAGACTAAAATATTTATGGACGGGAAGTTAAATGATGTCTGGGTTTTGCTTTAGTACAATTTAGTAGAGAGGGGTGGTGAAAAAATAGAAATAAAAGATTGGCCATGAGTTATTTGCTGAAGTTGGGTGATGGGTATATGAGTTCATTATACTATTCTATGTATTTTTTGAAAATGTGAAAGTTTAAAAAACCAGTTATTGAAGAAAGTGTCATTTCCCCAGAGGCATAAGAATTCTGCCTCCCTGGTAATCATCTCTGGGTATGATAGTCATATATTCCAGGCCTTCCAAAATAGTTTGATTTTCAAATATTCAACCTTATTATCACCATAAACAACTGAAATGTTCTAGAGAGTTTCATAAGTAACAATAAAGCCTTTGTTACACTAAATATATCAAATCTCAGTTTGGAAAAGTTAGTTACCATGCAATGGGGAAAACTATAGGGAAGCAACAGCGGTGGTTAACTTCATATAATGGCTTGAGAAGGACTTACTTGCCCGTTTTGTTTTTATAAACACCCATATCTACCTTCCTGTCCTCTGCTGCAGACTCTCTACCAACAACAGAGGCAGATGGGCTTAGCCCGGGGGAGTGAAGCATGGACCACTTCCAGATAGACCATATTCAAGTTCTGCTCTATACATACTGCTGAAAGATGGACTGTAGCATCCAGTACCCATGAGGGGTGATGGCCTTGAAAAATGTACCCCTTTGTGTTTCCTGGTTTTACTCTGTACCTTATTCTCTCTGGATATTTACCCTATTTATCCTGTATTACCTCCCAGGGAAGTAGTCAGGTCTTATGTAAGGTCAGTGCTTCAGGAAGATGTTTATATCTTTCCCAAAAGACCTATGTGGCTCCCCTCATCTCCTACAATTTGAAACAAAGATTGTAAAAATAATTCTTGGTATCATGCTTGAGAGTGGGGGAGATTGGGAGAAGGATAATATACCCGTCAACTATGTTTCATTTCTGGATTTCATTTTTTAGCTTTGGTGAATATATTGTCCCATTGCCAATGTTAACAAGCAACAACTCTGTTCCTTGTTCTAATTTATTATACTTCTTCTATTTGCCTATAGTTTCTTCTATGCCTAGTTACTATTAAATATGTTGATTTTCCTTTCTGTCAAAATAACAGGTGGAGACATTAATTTTCAGCTTACTAAAGTATACAGATAATAAAATAAAGAAGATGCCCTCTTATTGTTACTGCAATTCTATTGCCATTACAAACTCTAGAATGGCGTAATAGGCAAAGAACACTGCCACTGAGATCAAACATTTATTTTACTTTGGGTACTAAAAGGTAGAAATGAGGAATTAAATAGGTGGGCCAGTCACAGGAAGGCCTTTAGCAAAAATATTGGAAAAACATAAACATAGTAGGCATCTGCCAGAAATAAATTAGTTCTTGGGAATGATCTTATATCTGAAATAGGATCCTGCTGCCTTTTCCGGTAGTCTGAATTTATTTTTAAAGGCATTTCTAGACATTTTCTCTTTTGGGCAAAAGCCTATGTTGTAGCAAGCAGAGTTATGTCCAAGACTGTTGTATCTCTGGTCACTCCTGAAGCCTCAGGAATTTTAATCATTTGATGGCTGGGAAACAATCTGCCTGGTCATAGATGCTGACCTACTGCCTTTTAAAGTTTTTGTTCTTTTAACTTAACCCAATAAGCTCTGCCCCTTCAAAAAATAAATAAAAAGTATACTAAATCAGAATGTTAATGGTTTTGGCTCCATTAGTTCCTAAACCATAGGAAGTGGCAAAATGGAGGAAAAAGAACCAGTTTTATTTTTGGCCTTTTTATTATTGTTCTAGAAATTTGGGGCTTCCACTCTTTTATGGTTAACCCATTGATGATATTTATTTGCTTTATATCTGACCCCAACTGATGAAAACCATTCTAAAACATCAATAATTAATTCAGTTAAAGACCATGGTCCCTCTGGTCCCCAAGACAGAACCTATAAAGAGAGAGGAAAGTCTCTTTTCTGGACACAGACTGACAGCAAAAAGATGAAAAATTAGTCTCTATCAGCTGGACAGGAGATAGCGTCAGGTTTGTAAAACCAAACCTGGAACCTACCTCCACTGCCCTTCAACCAGGAAAAACCATTCCCTCTCCTCTACCCCTCTGTAACATAATTCTACTTTTTAGGAGGACATCTCCCCTAATTCCCACCTCCAATAAATATCCAGTCTAAATTATTCTCCACCCAATTATTACAACTTTTTCACAAGCTCTGTGGGGAATATTTACCCTGAGACAAATAGTGAACAGTGTCGGGATTTCAGAAAGAGGTTAAAAAAAAAAAGCTACAAGGCAAAGTGGTCCCAGTAGCAGACATGAAGACATTCTGCTTCAGGTGTGGTTCAATAATGAAGCAGGTGAAACATACAAAGTCAAGCTGATATGAGGAAGAGGAAGTATTTGTGATGAGACTGGGACACATTGAGATTCCGAGTTGCATTATGCATAGACTTGTGCTCAGATAAGAAGGGGTGCAAGGCAGCCTTATATCCCAGGGAAAATGGTGGGATTGGGGATGCACTGGCATCATCAAATGAATCAGAATTCTTTACTCCTTTCAATTCCTTCTATAGATGTGGGGCCAAGGTCTGGCCTCTCTGTAGTACACTGAAGGAAAAGAACAGTGGATGTGAGGAGAGCAAGAGCCATTTCCCAGCCCATAGTTTGCCCAGATCCTTAGCACTCTTCACATTAAGGCTACAGGCCTGGATTTCTGTTGATCCACTCCCAACCTTAACTTTGCATCCTATCCTCATCTTCCCTGGTCCACCCTCACTATATCCCCGTCATCCACCCTGAAGAACACAAAGCTTTTTAGTTCTTTGCCATAAGGTAATTTTTAAAAATGTGGTTTCTTTGTTTCAACAGTTAATAAGTTGGTTCATCTTTTAGTAACAGATCTCCCCTCCCCTAGCCCCCCACTCAGTCTTGTATGATCACATCATCATCGTCATCATCTTCTTCCTCCTCCTCCTCTTCTTCCTCACCATCTTCTGGCAGTTCTTCCTCCTCCTCTTCCTCTTCTTCATCTAGACAAACTACCACCTCAGCTGGCTCAGGTAATCGAGAGTCAAACCAGTCCAGTACCTGCTGGGTGCTAAGCCTTGATGCCTTACTCAGTTGAGGGATATCAGTTTCCCGTAGATGTTGATGGGCTGCCCAGTACCTCTCCAAGGGTTGTATATCTGGTGGGGGTGGAGGGATCGGCAGAGGTGGCGTCTCAGCCCATTCATTCAAGGAGCGGGTTGATGGTGATGGTGTGGGAATTGCTGGGTCTTGGAAACTAGGGGCACCGGGAACTGTGTTGTCCCGAAACCATTTTAGTTGCCCATGCTTCAAAGCATAGCGTGTGTCACCAAACCACTGAATGATCTCAGGCCGAGGTAAACCAGTGATCTGTTCTAATTTATGGTAATCCTCACGCCGTGCCCATTGACATTGTAAGAAAAAGGATTTGAGGATAGCCAGCTGCTCTTTGGTTTTGCGCTTGGTCTTTCGCTGGCGCTGGGTATCTGGGGAAAGGTACTCTGCAGGGCCAACCCTACCTGCTACTGAGTTATGCCGTAGCCTTTGGGGCCAGGCTGGCTCCAGCTGTGGGGGTAGTGCCTGTTCATTGGGTGACAGAGACTGTGGAATACAGCCTTGTGGCTGGAGGGGTTTAGAGGTGGCAGTAGCTCCATTAGCCAGTACCTGGAAAGAGGAAGAAGAGGTAGAGGAAGAAGAAGGAGTCATACTAGATGCTGATTCCTCCTTACAGCTACTGGCAAGTAATGAGATTGGTGGGGGCTTATCCCGAGCACGTGACTGGTGGGCAGCTTTGGAGTGGTTCCAGGAAGCAGTATCTATGCCATGTGACTGGTTGGGACCCCTGCCTGCCTGCTCCTTAGACATGCCACTGCTTTGATGATTCTGCCAAAATTCTGATTGCTGGGGGAATGTTCCACTGCCCGTTGTCATCAGGGGCTCCTTTGCTTTCTGGTGACTCAGTGGCAGTGGTGGTATCTGAGAGGACTCCTCAGGCTCTACCTTCAATCCTTTCATCTGGGTAGGCTCACTAAGACTCAGAGGACCTATTCCAAGACCAACTTGTTCTTGAGGTGGCACTGGAGAAGGCGGCACCTCCTCTGGGGGCCGCCCTGCATGATGAGTAAAAGATAGAAGGGATTTGAAATGAAGTTGGTCCCGATGGTAGACCACTCGGGCTCGAGTCTCTTCTATTTCTTCTGATGACCAGCTAATGCCACAGCGGAGGCGCTGGGCCATGAACCAAGTCTTGACTTTCTCCATCTGTAGCCCATAACGTAGGCAGAGAAGGGCAATATCTGCTAGGCTGGGATAGGGAAAGTAGCTGAAGGTTTGTAGCAAGTGTTCATTGCCATCTAGCTCACTGGTCTGGGCTGCTTGGGTCCACACAAGCTGTAGCTCCTCAGAGATTGGAGGGAGGCAGATGAGCCCCGCTGGTGAGCTATTAAGACTGCTGGCCTCTTTATTAGGAGGCATGGTGCTTTCTGATTTGTGCCCTTCAGAGATAGCTGTAATAAGAAGAGAAACAGCTCAATCACTGGGGCTCCTCTTTTGGCACATCGTTTAATTTCTACCAGACTAACTGTTGGACACTGAAACAAATTTCTATTTGTTTTGTGCTGCATTGCTTTTAAAGTGCTTCAACAATTCCTCATTTAATTTTCATAACCTTGTGAAGTCATCAGAGCCTGCTATATCATTCCTATTTTAGGTATGAAAAAACTAAAATTCATAGAAGTTAAATTACTCCAAGTCACATGGCTAGTGAGTGTTGTCACCAAGTCAAAAATCTGTCTTTAAAGGTTAAGAAGGAAAACTAATCCTTATATATAGTCTGTATCATTCCAATTCAAACTCACTTCTGGAAGCTGTCCCCTAACTCTCACCCTCTAAATTCAAGGGACAAGAATCAAAAAATGAAGACTCAACCTCAAAAACAAGAGGAGCAATCATCTCAGAACTCTTACTCTTTTATTTTCTTTGTTTTGGAGACAAGGTCTTGCTCTGTTGCCCAGGCTGGAGTGTGCAATGGTGCGATTATAGCTCACTGCAACCTCTAATTCCTGGGCTTCAGTGATCCTCCTGCCTCAGCCTCCCAAGCAGCTGGGATTATAGGCATGTATCACTGTGCCCAGTTTGTTACTAATTCTTTAGCTCCTAACAATTTATGATTATCTTTTAGAATATGTAGAGATAGGTTGGGAACACAACCAATGAACATCTGGAAGACAGGACAGCACTGTCCTCTGCCCAGCCCCCAACCCCCTTTCTTTCCCTTCTTGGTGGTAGAGTGCTGGGGGAGGGGAATGATAGTACCTTTAAACCCTAAGCCCAAAACTGATAGCTGTATTTTTTCCTTCTCTCAGTAGGATGAGAGATATGGGTCAGGGATCTGGGATAAATGAGGCTCACTCCCCCTGGGTTTAGGTCATGTGAAAGTGGAGAGGGGAATGTTTCCTCCCTCAAGTCAGCCTGGGAACAAAGGTTATCCCCTCCCCCAGCCTTTGTCTTTTCCAACAGCTAGCCTCTCTCCAGGGAGCCCAGAGAACTCCCT